CCCCCATCCTAGAGCTGAAGATCCCCGAACCTAATCCCCACCCCTATAGCTGTAGATCCCCCTTCCCCAACCCTACCAAAAAAACAGAGCTGAACCTCCCTCAACCCCATCTTCACTCCCATCCTGGAGCTGAAGATCCCCCAACCCCATCCCCACTCCAATCCCAGAGCGGAACCTCCCCAAACCCCATACCAACTCCCATCCCAGAGCTTAACCTCCCCCAACCCAATCAACTCCCATCCCAGAGCTGAGGATCCCCCATCCCATCCCCATCCCCATCCCAGAGCTAAAGATCCCCAAAACCCCATCCCCACCCCCATTCCAGACCTAAAGATCGCAAGCAAGGTCTTCATCCCAGGCCCCGGTCTCAATCCCCCTTTCTTCAATCAGTTGACCGACTTTACTAACACAATGATTGTCTCACTTAAAACCTAATAGAATCCCTTGCCAGTATCCGGCATAATAAAAGGCTGAACCCCTTCTGTCAGGATATTCTTTTTCAATCGGATGCATACTAGAAGTTTGGAAAATTTACAAAATTTTAGCTATCAAAATGTTACGGTTCCAGTTTAATTTAAGGAAACTACCCATTTAATAGGAACAGCGTAATTGGTCATATTAGCTGAGTATGCGAAGATATTAAGTGATTTAAATAGTTGGTGAAATTCGCCATAACTTAAAACTCCAAATACTTAAACACACACTAACAACTCTATGGTTAGAGACGCTGAAACAAATAACATTATATACATAATAATACTGTTGACCGCTACGTACAATCAGAGAAACGTGGTCGGGTGGCGCATTGGAACTATAACGCACTGGCCTTTCGCCATGGTGACCGAGGTTCGAGTCCTTGATCGGAAGTGCTAACGAATCTGAAAGTATGTACAATATAGTAAAGGTTATCACAGACGGAAACAAGAATTATCAAATGCATAACAAATATATTGTATATCACCTATAAATTGTCGAGAAAAGAAAATTTCAAAGTCAATCCAGTGCGAGTGCAGTTCAACAACGGCTGATTAGAATTAAACTATTCGTTAGTGCATAACTTTTATACGGCATATATGTGTCTCAAATTTCAACTAAAGTTGCATATATGAGTATTCAAAATTGTCATATAAAGATAAGAAATACAAACTTATTTCTTTCATATTAATAATTATCAACAATGTCGACTTGGAAATTACAAATATTGCATTATCTGGTTGATTAGAGTTTGAATAGCCGAACCTTGATATTTATACTTGCATAAATTTATATTCATTACTCGATTTTTTAAAGTCCTTGCTTAAGCCGAAAAAGAATTATACTGGAAACTATGTATACGTAATTGAAAACTGATATTTTTCCACTACACAAAACCGTAATTAATTAATAAAATGTAAAAACAGCTCACAATAGAGAATGATTTCAACGAACACAGCATATCAAAATTTGAAAAACATCATTTATTTTATGTTTGAGTTCTGAATTTTAATTGAGTTCAAAAATTGTTCTTTTAAGTTTAAAATAATGCATGTACATTTGACATGCCATATAAGAATATAGATGACTTTTTTATCTAAAAGTTCATCTCTTCCCCGATTTATGTATAGTATTGTCTCAACAGTTACTGTGTGACTTCCCTGATATTACCAGTAATGGTAAAGTGGGGACAACTAGAGTACACGGGACCTTTCCGGTAACAACACTACCAAGGAAATAGGCCTGAAAATACAAATGATCTTTAAACAGAATTAAGATAACAGTTTAATAGTAATTAATATAAGCTCTTGATTTGGTAACAAAGACAGCTTTGAAGGACGAACGGTAGCTGTAGGGCAGGCCATCAAATTGTATAAAGGAATGAAAAAACATGTTCTAATGAGGATTTTTACTAATTTATTCAAGATCTGAGATTTTATCAAATGTGTTCATTATGTTTAAAAAATAAATTTGCACTTTTAGTCTTTCCCTTAAGGTATAATTCTGACAACAGCCTTACGTACTTTGAGTAAACTTATAAGTACATGACGAACGATGGAGGTTTTGAGAAATACTTATAGTGCAACCTGGCTAATACACATGTAGGACGACAACGCTTCTATGTAAGCCGAAATCAGAAACTGAAATATCTTAAAGTAATGGCCTCTCCAGTTTCATTAAAGCGGAAACCTCTTTATACCGAAGTTGATTTTTGAGAGGAAATTGCGCGGATTAAGAAAAGTCCGTTATATTCAAATTTCTAATTTTGAACTTCCAAAAACTAAAAATAACATTTTCCATTCGGAACTCTTCATCTCTGACTTTTTCCACCATACTTTTAGATTATCATGTGACGTCAAATTCAAACGTTGACGATAATTCCCGAATGTTTCGTGATTATCGTTTGTCGCCTGACGGAATTGGTAGCCATTGTAAATACGACATTGCCTCCGAAACAATGGCTAGTTAAAACGATTTGATTAAATCCAACTTAATTAAATTTCAATTTTGTCATTTACATATTGCTTCCAAGCGATATTTCAATAAACGGTAGCGATAAGATTAATCTCAAATTATAGATTCGTTTGAAATGCATCATGAACCTATTTTTTTTTTAAGTTAGATTATAAATCAGAAGATAATGAATAACAAACACATAAGAACTCGAAATATCGCACTTGAATGAACAACAGAAAGAAAACCAATCACTGCCACTTCGTTCGAGTCCGTATCAAGCTTCTAGTCAAACCTTTAGTTTCCCAAACCTTGCAGCAGAGACGTAAGCGCGGTCAGTGGCAGGGTAATACAAACTGTTATAGTACAGTAAAATAGTCGTGTGATATAGCTCCTCTTTATGGATTCAGGGCCTGCCAGAAACATATACGTCTCTGGTCCTGCGCACCTTCTTGGTATTGTTCTTACAGCAGAATCGTACTCAAGCCTACACAAATTGAAACATGTATTATACTGGGGCCAGTACAGTAAACTAGTCTTGTGATAATAAGATCATATACATTGTATATCGTCTGGGGCCAGTACAGTAAACTAGTCTTGTGATATTAATATCATATACATTGTATATCGTCTGGGGCCAGTACAGCAAACTAGTCTTGTGATAATAATAGCATATACATTGTATATCGTCTGGGGCCAGTACAGTAAACTAGTCTTGTGATAATAATATCATATACATTGTATATCGTCTGGGGCCAGTACAGTAAACTAGTCTTGTGGTAATAATATCATATACATTGTATATCGTCTGGGGCCAGTACTTAAGATAATAATATCATATACATTGTATATCGTCTGGGGCCAGTAATGCGCATGTACGTGACTTCCCGTAATACTGTAGCTTGGTCCGTAGCGCATGCATTTTAAAGGAAATATATTTATTATCCTGATTCACAGATTTATCGGGGAATGTCATTTTAATTCTGATAATTAGTGTTCACAGTCAACACGGGGTATCTGTATCAAAGAGGATAGCGGACAGACTAATAGGCAGTGGTTCGATACGCTAGGCGTCCACGGTAGCCAGCTCGCGCTTGTTGGACTGTGGTTTATGGGGCTGAAATATGTAACGGGTGTGACTGGGAGCGTTATAATTAACGGCACGCGAACATACGGGTGGTTTCTGTGTCAATTCGTGTCCTTGTTTATGTAAACACTGACACAGTGTTACTTCGATATTGAAACTTTGTACATGTAACATACTGCATATTGCTAAATTTTCGCGGATATTTTTTGTCATATTCATGTGAGAGATTAAAATCCACGAAATGAAAATAATAATAATATACACATTTATAAATTCTTTACATCTCTTGTTAAATTGTTTCGATAAATAAAACCTTGTTATACCGCCACAATTTGTCCAATGAAGTTTTGGTGTTATAAAGGAGTTCGGCGAAAAATCTGAGGACAAAGCAGATGTGAAGAAGAAAGTAAATAGGACTAGACATATGTGGCGATATTCGAGGTTTTAGATATACAAAAAATCGCGACAGAACATAATTAGCTACAGTGTATACACTCGCTTCGAAAATAAAGTCGCAAATAAATATATCGCCAAATATCTGCAGTATTCTGGACACCGGTGACTTTGATAGACTTCTTTGTATTGATGAGGGAGAATGAATTGTAAAAGTTGGTTGTTCCTTTTCATCATAAATGTGGGTTGATGTTGGAATCCGAGGTTCTTGAAATGAAATCTGCAATAAATTTGATCTTATTTGTGAAATTATTATTTTCAAGATATTTCGGCTGTGATAACGATTCACGTAGGTGAGGACACGCGAACCAGTATCATGCTGTGCATTCGAACGCATGCATTGAACCATAGAAAATAAAAATTCATTCGAAAAATGATGTTTACTGACCGAAAATCCTTAAATTTCGCGGAGTATTTTTGTATCCGAAAGAATAGATCGTAAAATCAAACCACTCGCGATATTTTAGACATATTTAAATAAGTCTTTTTAAAAACAATTGTATTAATTCATTTATCACAAAAAAATATTTAATTACTTACTACGGGAATAAATATCTACGAAAATCAAGTGATTTAAAGTATGTTGCACGTGTCTTATACGACACAAGCACTGCCATTTTTTTAGGTCTGTGGTGGAATTTGAAACGAAAAAAGGAACCTGGTGTACAATAGTCAGAACACATTTGTTTATATTGTCACACGACCCAGCTACTGGCATCATTCACATAGGATGGGGTCTGTGTTAGGGAGCGATAGAGTTACTGTTATTTGTTGTGTTGTGGGTTCCATGTCACTTCTTAAATAAACATTGATACAATAAACATTCATAACTACAAAATCCCTAACATCCCATCCTTCCACCGGGAGAGGGGAGCTTTTAGATAGCGCCTCTGTTAGACTCTTCTATCTTAGGAGATACTTGTCATGCATGGTTGAATCTGCGTTTCGATAACTGCTGATGCTTGTAGAAGAATTTAATCAGTAGCAGCAGTTCGCTGGTATATTAGGTTTCTTTTAAGGACACTGGCCAGTCCTTAATTTTCCGTATTCGCTTTGATTTTTACATCTGTACTTAAACTTCGTGATCGTTTTTCATCATTCACGTGTGCCATGCCGTGAACATCTAATACACGGAACAGGAGACCGGGACGGTCTACAGCCGGATCTGGTTGTTCGAACTACG